CAGCTGAGGCAATCGGCTATATTTTCGTCTCTGGTGTCTTGCCTCACTCTGTGTTCAGTTCCAAGCTGGGGATCATCTTTCATGCTTCTCAAAAATGAGTTGGGTAATAGTGGTCTCTCGGCTCCCCGCCCACGTGCACAAGCCACTTCGTTGCCCCTTGGGAGGAGTAAAAACAGAACCTGAAGATAAATTTCCCAAATCCAAGAATACTTGAAGTGACTTTCTGGTGTTGCCGGAGGCACTTTCGATCCCTTTGCTGTCTTCTTGTTTATGTTCTCCTTTCCTTTTGCAACTCCTGGAATTCAGACCTGCTCGGTCTCACTGAGTCAGTTCCAGCAAGGCGTGCCAAGATTTCAGTGTCCGTGGTAGAGCTTGTGGTGGAAGTGATGGTCTCAGAGGCGTATTTTGCAGCTGAGCGAGGTGAACAGTGTCTTTAAGAAGAAATTGCTACTTTGACAAAGTTCTTCTCACCACATAGGAATCAACAAAAGTTACTCTGCAACTGGAAAACAGTTGCTTTTTAGTTGCCATTTTTGGATCAATGCTGCTGGCCGCCATCTTGCCAAATTTAGCTTTAGTTCAGTGCTAAAGAGCATTGCAAGAGCTAAGAGAGTGTGGTTTCTGAAGGCATTCTTATTTTCATGTGCCTGCCTGTTTGAAATAGTGTTTGGGACCTTGGCATCTTGAGCATGGGTATGAACTCACCGCTTGGTTGTAATGGGCTGTTCTAGGCTGCAGTCATCAGATACCTCACTTGTTTGCTTCAAGGCATAAAATGTTTTATGGATTTTTTTTTTTTTTTTCAAAAGACCTACTGGTTCAGTCTGTAACATGGATGTTCAGGATGGTAAGAAACCACTGACAGGTTTTATCTCAGAAGCGAGTTCATGAGGATGTTGATAAAAAGGCACACCTTACAGCATACAGAAGGCATGACTGTTTTCACTTTCATTACTGCAGCTGGAATCAGTTTGAGTCAGTGCCTTTCCACTATATTTTTAGCACAGACTTGCAGGAACTTTGGAGGTTGGTACTTATTTCCAGAAGAATCACTAATTGGTAATTACTTTTTTGCTGTTGCTCTTCATACCATCCACCATAATGTGTAGCCTCTGGGCATTATCACATGCTGAACGAGGGGAGCTCTGATGCAGAAAAACAGTGCAGTGATGTAAGTTCTAAAAAGTCTCCCCCCAGCCCCTTCCCTGTGTCAAATGGGGCTGTTGGACTGCTTTACTGAGAGAGAAAAGGGGCTGAGGATGGGAACCGGGAACCTGTTATTTTGGTCTTTAGGGCTAGTACATACTTGCTTCAATTTTATTGATGTCTTGCGCTTTGTATGCAAGTTTGGCCATTAGCTGTGCTGGGGTTTGTGTCCTCACTTCAGGCCTCTGTCTAGGGGCAGGCTTGATGCAGGCTTTGAATTTCCTTTTAATTCCAAAACAGCTCTAAAGCTGCGTTTTGTGTTCAGTTTATCTCTTTGTTGAGTCAGTGAAAGAAAGGAGTGAGAGGGAAGGTGTGTGAGGGAGCTGACAAAAGGGATGAGTAGGGGAGATGATCTGGAGGATTTGCACCAGGCTCTCTCTGTCAGGAAACTCATTGAGGAGCTTTAAAAATTACCTGGCCTAGCTGTCTGTCCTGCCCTTCGCTGAAGTTCACCAGCATGCTTAGGAAAGTTGGCAGGAGAAGTCCCAGCCCATGCCTTGGACTTTCCTGCTTGGTATTTTCAGTTCAGGCTCTCTGATGCACAGATGACAGGGATTGTCTGAGCGTGGTTGAGGCATATTTTGCTCCATCATCTCGGTTACAGCGTGAGGAACCCCCAGGAGAGATGCAATGAGGGCAAGTGGTGATGATAATAATAATCTAAACTGCTACTGGAAGATGGGTAGTGCTTATCTCTCAAAGTCCTTACCCATGTCTGTAGGAGAATTAACATCACTCTCCTGTGCAGCCGACATGTAATTTCGTAGCACCTTTGTTTCTTTGTCTGCAGAACTGCCAGGTCAGATAACTGAAGCTGACCACATGCACGTAGATGCCTGCATGCTGTTTCTTGGAGACCTTTATTCCATTTTTAATGCCTCCAAGCTTTCAGATTGCTTTAAGTGCAGTAATGTACTGACAACATTGATCCAGCCCTCCCTTCTTACTTAGGAAACTGTAGATTTGGTTCTTCAGTACTAAAACTTTTTTCTTGCATTCAGCAGAACCAAGCGGACCTCTTGCTGTGCCCTGCAGCACTGCTATGTGTCAGGAGGGATCTGAACTTCCCTTCCAGATTTATACGGCTGTCGGTTTATTGACAATTTTGGTCCAAAAGCTTCCACTTGCTGCCCAGTTCCTCTTCCATTTTTTTTTAATCTTGTGTCCCAGATTGGCTTTTAGGCTGCATGGCAGTCTCTGCATCCTGAGGAACAGCCACTCAGTTTCAGTGACAGGTCATGTAGCCAAAGTCTGGCAGCGGTTTCTTATCAAAGGCCTTTGGATCCACATCTCGTGTGCAGAGGGGTACAATTTATGTTCACACTTTGAACAGGCTAAATAGGAGTATTGTTTCTTTCTGGTGTCCCTTGGCTCAAGTTTTAAAATCTGCCTCCTAAATTAATTTCCAGTGTCCGGGAGCTAATGCTGAGCTAATGCAAGGTCCTTACAAGTAGGTTGTTGGTTTTATCCACTCTTTTAACCACAAGATCCTGTCTGACCTGGCAATGTATTGGTTCAGTTTTCTTACTGCTCTCTCAGTTTTCCTGGAAATCCCAGATCTTTTAGGACTCTACCGAGACCGCATTTTAGGTTGAAGATGGAATTCATGAGCTCCTTCCAGCGTGTATCCAGCAGCCTTTCTTGTGTCTTTTTGGGTTCAGAGAATGGATCTGTAATATGGTCATTGATATCCACCCCTTTCAATGTCTTACCTCTTGCACTCTTCAATGAAGAGAGGAAAACACGACTTTCCCAGTGCTGGCAGTCCTGGAAAGACATGTTTTATAACTCCTCCTTTTGTTGACTTAAAATAATGTTGTCTCTACCAGGGCTTATGCAAAGCTTGAAAACCTCTTGGAAACAAGTCATCTGCCCTCATAGGCTTGCTTGGTATTCTTTTAAGTGTCCGAGAAAGGAGCCAATACAGCATAGTCTGTCTTGGAAAAACCTCTGTCTTGAGGGGCGGGGGCACCTTGGGTCACATCATGCTGTAGGTATGTCATCCCTCTCTGATGTACTTTTAAAAATGCAGTGAGCGTGCCAAGTGACGCACCGCTGCCACGGTCTGCGTTCATGCTGTATAGCTGCTTGCTCTGCCACTTCCACTCGAGGTTTGATTTCTTCTGGTTATTCTGTCCCTAAAAGAGCAGAATGGAGCCAAAGTGTACGGCCAACACCGTTGTCCACAAAGCTTCCTACTCTGTGCCGGTGCTTGCTGCTTGTTTAGGACAAAAGAAGACTTTATTTTCTTTCGTTTGTCAGAATCAAACCAAACTGTGCAAAGTTTTCTGTTCTTACCTTAGACACTGGCACATCTGGAATACTTTGAGAAAGTAGTCATGCGCTCACCAAGGAAGTTACAGCAGTCAGCTGGGATTGTGGCAGGCTGAGGTACAGCTTCCAAGAGCTCCTCAGGAATCAGTTGGTTCAAATTCATATTTCTTTCATAGAGTGAATTATTTGCTGTGTTAGATTCTGAAGGAAATTACTTAATCTGCCTTCCTTCCATTTCTTTGCTGTTTGATTTGCCTCATTTTGTCAAGGCTAATGAATTATGTCATATTTCTTGTGGTGTAGTGGGCTAGAGCTGCAGTGACTCCTGTGAAGGTGTTGTGGAAAGGTGCTTATATCCTAAAAAAGTGCTTATATCCTAAAAAGAAAACTCCATTTTTCATGAGCAGTTGACTATTTCTACTGGCTTGATAGGTTTAACTAATAGGCCTCAACAGCCTAAACTCTTAAAACTCTTCCTGTCAGGGGAGCTGCAGCATTGTCCTTTAATTCCCCTATTTATCTGGGATTTGACACCAAATAGACTTGAACTTTTGTTTCCGTGGCAGTGGTTACATGTGATTTCTGATGAGTCTGACTAATTCTGTTAGGCAAAACATCTTACAGTCAGCAACATCTCACAGACCACTTCTTTTCATAGGTAGCTTCACAGCTATTTCCATTTGAGGCCAGTGAAGTAGCTATATTTATTGACAGAAAATACTGTGCTTTGAGCTCCTGGAACTGGTGCCTGGGAAAAATGTTCTCCTTTGTCTTACAAACAAGTATCGCTTCTAAAAGACAAGACAACAAAGAAACCTGTAGAAAACGGAGATGAAAACAGGGGGGTGGCTGGACAGGGAGGAGCAGTATCACTCAGCCTCATAATTTCTGTTTTCTTGGCCAGTTCTAAAGCGGATGACCTATCAACTGCTATTCTGAAGCAGAAAAACAGGCCCAATCGGTTAATTGTTGATGAAGCCATCAATGAAGATAACAGTGTTGTGTCACTGTCCCAGGTGCGTAATCTATAAAAACAAAGCATTTAATCTGGTAATTTGCAAGCTGTTGCTGTGTGTTAACTTGAAATGTAACTTTGCAATATGAATCCAAATATTTGTGTCAGAAGCTGCAGCTGTTATGAGTGAGGGAAGGTCATCTTGTCTTGTTTCCTAACACTCTTCCATGATAAAATGTGTTTGGATTCTCAGTTTGTAGGATCCAGTTGAGTTTGTGTCCTTAGTCTGGCTTCAGGATTAGCTCTTGACCAGTGTAGTGGGAGCCTCTGTCCTTGAGGATTTAGTATATTGCTTCCAAGATGTAATTCTCCAAAGTCAAGTAACTCTCCTTCAAATGCTTGAATTCATGTTTTGTCAAGAGCTTGTTCTAATGCTGATACTGTTCACAGGCAAAAATGGATGAGTTGCAGCTGTTCAGAGGAGACACTGTTCTGCTAAAAGGAAAGAAGAGGAGAGAAGCAGTTTGCATTGTTCTGTCAGATGATACCTGCTCAGATGAGAAGATTCGCATGAATAGGGTTGTTCGTAACAACCTGAGAGTGCGTCTGGGTGACGTGATCAGGTGAGGACTTGTTTGCTAACTGTTGCGTATCCCTGGGTTGCCTAAATAATTTGTGTAATGGCTCTGAATTGATCGAGTCAGAGCAGAGACAGGATCTGCAGGAGAGGTATTCTTAGGTCTTCCAGAGGAGATCACAGAAATGTTTTCAAGTGCATGGCTCACATCAGGGATCTCCGTTTACTTCTGCATGTGTTTCTGCCTTTGTGCATATTCAGATTAACACTAGAAAATGATGCTAAAGATTCTTGAAGTCTCTTGAGGACCTTTAAGAGCCCAGGTCCTGTCATTAAATTGAGTGGTTCAGTCATCCCACTGTTGTCACAGTCATCTTCCCAAATTTACATTGTCAGGTGAACTCGCAAATTTTTCTTGTCTAAATTTTTAATGTCTACAGTGTTAACTGTGGAAGGCATTAAGCTGAGCTGACCTATGGCAAACAGAAGTTAAAATTTGCTAGACATGAGTGACAAAAACATGAAGCAGTCAAATAGCAAGATTAAAAATCACCAAAGGGTGTTTATATTCCGATTTTTGTTATAAAAACAACTTTAAAATTAGGAATGCTTAAAAAGTACTGCAGGGGTTTTGTTGTGCAGCACTTGCAGAAAGTATTGGGAAGGCACTGAAGTACACATCTCGGCTTATGGGAGACAGGTTCCATTCTGTGATGGGAGTGGGGGGGGGGAATGCGTGAGCATTTCTTAAGCGTAAAAGTGCTACTTTGCAGGCTTAAATATGGGAGGGCTGACAGCTCTTCCTCCTGAGCATCTTCATAATCTGGAATATCCTGCATGTTGTGGGAAAATTGGAGCCTGGTTTCTGACACTAGACTTCCTGGGGTGATACCTGGAATAATCTTAAATGCAAAATGTGTTTCATACAAACTTTGTAGAGGAGAGGAATGAGGCTGTTCCACCCATTTCTCTACCACTAGAAAATGCAAGTTATACACACCGCTGTAGTTGGAACTGAACAGTACTTTGTGCCAGTCTGTGGATTCAAAATAAAGATGATCCTTACTTTAACCTGATGCAAGGTTACTGTTGGAGTTGTTCCTAGTGTGACAGTTCAGCTTGTGCTCTCCTCTTCTCTGCTAGGACTGTGTCTGTAGTGGTTGTCAGCCTTCCAAATGCTTTGTTGCAAGGGTCAGAGAATTTTCAAACCTCTTGCATTCAAAGTTTTCTTGCTGATCCTTAACTGCTTATCGTGTTACTTTCTGTGGCCTGTTTTCTGCCAAAACCCAGATTCATGCACTAATTGCTTCCTGCTTGCGGTCTGGCAACGGTTTTCCTTCTGGGGCAGTTTGTCTTTTCCTTTACCCTTTCTGCTGATTCCTCTTGTAAAGCACATGATAAAAGAATCTATTAAGAGTCTCTAACAAAAGTCACATATGAAAAGTTGCATGCTCAGCTGCAGTTCCATGTAGGCTTTTCTTAGGTGGCAAAGCCAGTTTGAGCTTTCTGCCATACCTTGATACTCTGAGCTATTGCTACAGTAGGCTGTTGTCCTATACTGCAAAATAGTAACTGTAGTGTTTATTTAAAAAAGGGGAAGGGGCCTTCAGACTTTAACCTGAATGTCAGCCTCCACAAAGCAGGACTGGCAGACTGCAAGCTAGTTACTCCTGGTTGGTACTGAGAGAGCCTCTGCTCAGAATCAGGGTTGTCAGCAATAGGAGCTCTGGTCTCTGTAGTAAGTTAGAGAGAGGAAGGAAGAAAGAGCTTCGCCCAGCTCCCTCTCCCTGGCAGCTTGTTGAGCAGTAGCTTGTTGTTGAAACAAAAGTTAGCTCGTTACTCTCATAGGTCTTTAGGTTGCATTAGTTACCTGTGAATGTTCCTTGGGGATGGCAAGGGGGGGCTACAGAAGAGCAGGGTGGTAGGAAGGAAGTATGAAACTCCCCAGCGGCCTTGGACAGGGCTGAGAGGAGTGAAGGACAGTGTGTGTTGTGAAGACTAGCTCTCGATGGGCATGATTTTTGCCTTCTCAGCATTGAAATGTTCTTATGCAGGTGAGAAGTCTCACCAGGGCTTTGGAGGGTCCTTTCCGGCACTTGTACTGGCCTGGGAAGGGGCACCACTGCCTTCTCCAGGCTCGGGTGCAAGTCCAGCATGATGTGGCTAACTGGAGTTTTCTTCTGTTGCAGCATCCAACCTTGCCCAGATGTGAAATACGGCAAACGTATCCACGTGCTGCCCATTGATGACACGGTAGAAGGGATCACAGGGAACCTATTTGAGGTCTATCTCAAGCCGTATTTCCTGGAAGCATACAGACCCATCAGGAAAGGTAACAGTGCCTGTTACTGAGGTCCTGATGGCAGCAAGTGTAAGCTAGTCCTGAGACTGAGTAAAGAGAATTTCTAGAAGCTTGCACAGATCTCTGTGAAGCGTTAGACTGGCATCTGTAGCGTGAGATTTTGCTGGTGCTGATTTCACTTTTTCCCAATCTTCAGAAGAAAGGGTGATTGCTGCTGCTGGCTGGCAGAGCAGCTTGATAGTTCTTCTGTGGTTTTTTGCTACATGAGATGGGAGAGCATCTGAAAAGGCTCAGGTGGAACTCAGGAGAAAATCTTGTTAAACTAAATTGCTACCACTTGATGGAATTGGGGAATTGCCCGCATATTGATCAACTGGTTGGGTATACCAGCTGGCACCCTGACTAAATTAACTTCTTCAAAGTAATTGAGTAACTGGGAGAGTGCATTGAAAAACCAAATGCACTTCTGGAGTTGTGCTAGTAGCACTTCTGCTGGAACAAATAGGTCCTAATACACTATAAACACCAGCTGAAGTTATCCAGCTTCTGTAGCCCAGTTTAGCCAGGAGTTCGTAGTGCAGTATTATATATTATTCTGCTTCTGGAAATGACCAGTTGTAACAAGTAACAACTGGTTATAACTTGAAAATGAATTTTTATTAAGTTAGGGCTCTCTGCCTGTTTTAGAAATGTTAAATTGAAACTGAATGGAAAAGAAATGTGATTCCTTGCCTTTGTGTTTTGTATTTAGGGAGAGTATTCTTTTCTTTTGTTTGCTGGTTTTGTTTGCTGTTTGTTACTGGATGAAATTTGAGAACTTTTAACTGCTGCGGATCTAAACGGTGCTCGGGTAGTCACAGTACATGCAGCTGAGTTTAAAATGCAGAGCAGCATTACAAATGCCAGCAGTGTTTGCCTGTGTAACCCACTTCCTTGTCCTCTCAGGCTGCTGGTAGTACAAGGGTCGACATTTTGCAGTCCTCTGTTGCAGCAGGCTACTAAAGTGTGGGGTTTTACAGGTGACATCTTCTTGGTGCGTGGAGGGATGCGTGCAGTGGAGTTCAAAGTGGTGGAGACAGATCCGAGTCCATACTGCATAGTGGCTCCGGACACGGTGATCCATTGTGAAGGAGAGCCCATCAAACGAGAGGTGAGCAGAATCCTGCCACATGGTTCTCCTACCGAATCCCCTCTGTCCAAAATCTGTTTCTGTGTCAGTGCTTGGGAGCAGCTGTGTTTGCAGTTCCTGTTTTGGCATTTTGTGTATTGGATGTAATGGTTAGAAACTCTGGCTTCAGGAGATGAGCTGCTGCTGAAGGTGGTCAGAGAAAGGTACTTCCAGTGTCCTTCCTCATATGCTGAGATAGCACTAGTGTGTAGGTTTCCTGACGAGATGCTGTACTTTGGCAGCAGCTGGTTTTGCATCTGCTTCCAGATATCTCATGCTGGACCTAGATGCATCTTTTAAGTCCAAAGTTCCCTTGATCCATAGCAGGGAGAGCTTACAATGTTGCTAAATTTCATGCTATGTCAAAAGAAAACAATTAGTGCTTTTTTAGTGAGAAATTTGAAATCCCAAAATGGTTGACTCGAAAAAAATTTCCCCTGTCCCTTAAGGTGTCTAGCCTTGAGCATCCCAAGCTTGAGGCACCCTGAGTGTCTCATCATCAGGTCTTGGCCACCTTACTGAGTAGGAAATCTCAGAGAAATGAGCTAAGGTGGTTGTGTACTTCATAAAATAAGTGCCTTTTTTCTACCTGCAAATCGGGGTGAGTGCTGGTTTGTAGTTAGCTGCCTTCTGAAAAATTCACCTCTATGTGACACTTGTGAGACTGCATCTGGGCCCCCCATGGGCCCAGTTTGGGCTCTTCAGGACACAGCAGAGACAGATAGGAGCAAGTCCAGCCAAGGCCACCAAAATGATGAGGAGCTGGAGGTCAGAATGAGTGAGGAGGGGCTGGGAGAGTGGGATGGTGCAGCCTGGAGAGCGGAAAGCAAAGGGCCAGGCTTAATGGCAACTGCCTGATGGGAAGGGGCAGATGATCAGCCTCTTCTGAGAGCTGTGCCCAGGGACGGGACTAGAGGCAGCGGCATAAGCTGGATCAAGGGAAATTCCCAGTGGATACTAGGAAAAAGGTTTCCCCAACCCTGGAGCACGGTCCAGAGAGGGCAGGAATCTCCAGACCTGGAGACCTTCAGCACTTGATAGGGCCAGACCCCGAGTGAGGTAGTAGTTTCTGTTAGTGGTGCTTGGGCTGAGCCTCTCTAAGATTCCAGGCTGTGTTATTTTATTATTTTAATGTGGCCTAATGGTACAGATAATGAAGGCCAGCAGAGATTTGGACAGCCAAATGAATGGGTGCTCTAGAGCTATGCTGGAAGAGCTGGTTACAGTTGATCTTATCTGTGTGTCTGGATCTTAATATTCTCTGTTAATTTGAGTCAATCCCGAAAGACAACACTACCATCTGAGAACTGTATTATAGCTAGAATATATCAAGTAGTTAGAGATATCACTTACAATTTAAGGAATAAGTATATTTTATACTGAGCTTCATTGTCTATTGCTGTCTTTGTTAGCCACGTCAGAGGGTCGCAGAGCTTGTTTTGCACTGGAGTCTGTAGGGAACCTGGCAGCAGAGGCTGTCATTCAAGAGGGTGGGCTTCAGTGAGGTCCAGGTATGTGCAGGCCGTTCCTTTTGTATGTTTGGAAAAACAGAACTAAGAAACAATCAGAGAAGAAACAAGGAAGACTGAAAGTGAGAATCTCAAGACAGCAAAGAAATGGCTACAAGCAGAAACCTGGTTTCCTGGTGTCCTGGTTTCGGCTGGGATAGAGTTAAGTTTCCTCCTAGTGGCAGGCTTGTGTTTTGGATTTAGTGTGAGAAGAATGCTGATAACACACTGATATTTTAGTTGTGGCTAAGTACTGCTTATGCTAGTCAAGGACTTTTCAGCTTCCCAGGCTCTGCCAGGTGCACAAGAAACTGGGAGGGGGCACAGCCAGAATAGTTGATCCAAACTGACCAAAGGGCCATTCCATACCATATGGTGTCATGCTCAGTATAGAAACTGGGGGGGATTGGCTGGGGTTAACAGTCGCTGCTCGGGAACTGGCTGGGTATCGGTTGGTGGGTGGT